ATGCCCTGGGGAGCTGAGGGCTTAGCCTTGCCAGACCATTCTTTTCTTCCCCTGGAAGCCTGGTCTGGCTGAGGTCAATGAGTGCACAAATGAGGCACTGGCAGGTGTGTAGAGCGGGGAGGACTAGAGAACCAGATGCTAAAACGCTAAGACTGGCTGAGGCAGAAGACAGGGTGGCTGGGGGAGCTGGTTCTTTCTCCAGAAATCCCAGCTATTCTTGGCCAGCCAGCAGGAGCTTCTGGAATGCTGTGTGTGTGGCCTGGAGAATGGGGCCACTGTGAGCACAAGGCCTCCCCCAGACTGCAGAGCCCCCAGCGTCTGCAGCAGTGCAGACCTCCAAAGAGGCCCCTGTCCTCTCCCTGCCACACATGATTCTCCATTTGGCCTGGGGGGTGAGAGGGGGCAAGGACATTTTGCTTTTTGAGGAAAGGACCCTTCTCCCTCCCCTCACCTCTCTCTCTCTCTCTCTCTCTCTCTCTCTCTCACACACACACACACACACACACACACACACACACACACAGTCCTCTGGTTATGGCTTGGCAGGAAAAATATGGTCTCCACTTCCCCCAGCATCCATGCCCACCTGCTCTTACGTGAAACCATTCCAAGGTAAGCTGATTTGTTCATCCCGACCCACCATTGGGACACCTCTTTATTTCAGCCTCCCACAAAAAGGCCTACATCAGTCTCTCTCTTGCTCTGGGTCCTGAACCCCCTGAGGGCCTCAGATGTTGGAGACCCTTGTACCCAACACAACCAGGCTTCCTGGGGGTAGGGCCTCTGATTAAATATGTCACAATTCTCCAAAGACTGAGCCAAGAGGTCCTAAGGGGAAGGCGACAGTCTTGTAAAGTGGTCCCAATCTCTCTGTTGAGATTTGCATCCTTCCTGGTTGCACAGAGCTGCAGCCTCATAGACAGGAACTGCACCTTTAGAAGAAATGAAATTTCCAAAGCTTGGAGAAGAAAGAGTCCTTGAGGAAAAGGTCATGGAGTCTGGGACCCTTTTTGGCTTCTCCTTGGATTGATCCCAGTCCCACCTCCATGTGGTGGAGACAACACAAAGACAATGCCACATTCTCCAGGGAACAAACAGACAAACTTCTTTGCTGGGTCTTCTGCAGCGAGGCACAGAGGCTTCTGAGACAGGTTCTGCCCCTGGGGCAGGAGACACATGTTGGCCATGAGGGCACCAACAGTTCAGTAAGAGGCGGGGGCGTCTTCAAAACAGGGCACCCCCTGAATTGGCATGCCAGCAGCCCATCCAAGGTAGCTCTGCCGCCCAGCGGCCCGAGGCCGTCGCCTGCAGTTTGGTCTGGTCGAGGCGCCAGTAGTGGTCATCTCTGAAGAAGATGACCGAGCCATCTGGCCGGGGCAGGGCGCCACTGACCTCTTCAGGTACACCACCCCAGTCCTGCAGGCCTCGGGGGTAGTAGGGCTCCACCTGCAATCCCCCTCGGGCCAGCACATAGTAACGGGCACCCTTGAAGAGGACAAGGCGGCTCAGAGGAGGGAAGAAGAGGGCTGCATCGGGGTGGCGGGGCAGGCCCCCTGCCCGGCACAGCTGTGGCGAACTCCACACTGGCTTGGGGCCCTGAAACCTCCAGCATCGACTCCCTGTAGGGCATTGGGAGAGTCAGGGTGAGCTGGCAGCTATCACCCTTTGGTCCACCACCCCACCTCTGTCTACAGATACCCCTACTCCCTCTTGTGTTGGAGTCCAAGGTGGTTAGTATTCATGATAATTAAAATGGATCATACTAATACTTATAAACAGTAGTGGAGGGAATTGTTGTGGCCTAAACGTCCAGCAGGTGTCAGCGAAGGGCAGATAGCCCTGAAGGGACCTATCTACCCATTTCTTGGGTAGCAGGATCTCCTCCCTGGATTCTAGAGAAGGCCATGGGTTTTCTTCAGTGCCATTACCACTAATAATTCTAGTAGGGCAAGGAGTTGTTTTGTTCACTACTGTATCCCAACCGTGAACTAGGCACAGAAGGCACTCAATATTTGTTGAATGAATGAATGGGCACTGTTTACTGAACTAATATACTGCACACTCCTCAAACATCATGTTCTTTTCACCCTCCTACCCCAACGAACCTGAGAGGCTGTTTTCCCCATTCAAGAAATTTAAGCTCCAAGAGTTAAGTGACATGCTCAACTTCACACAGCCAGGGTTCCAAGGAAGGTATGACTTTCCACTGAATGCAGAGCTCAGGAATGATCCTCTGCTTCCTTCTAGAAGCTGCTCTGAAACTGTCCCACCCTCTCTAGGACAACCTTGACACACACACACACCCCTCACCTCCCCAGTCCACCACTGAAGTAATCTCCTGGTCGAGTTTCCTGGGGCCACAAGTTCAGACTGGAATTGAGATGCCTCCCTGTCTTTTGACCTTGGACAGGACACCTTCCCTCTCTAGGTCTCAATTTTCTCATCTGCCCCAGGGCCGGTACCTTTGAAGAAGAAGAAGTCTCCATCCTCCAAAGACACTGCAGCTGCCTCAATGTGGGGTGGCAGCCCAGCCCACCTTTCCTGCAGTGGGTGGGGCTCTGAGATGTTGCCATCAGCTGCTACTTCCCAGAAGTGGTTCCCTTGAAAAATGTACAGTCGCCCTTGCCTGTCTGCCCAGAGACACAAGAGAGAGTTGAGCAGTAACCATCAGCCTCCCGCCTTTTTTTCAGGAGAGGTGCTTTCCTAGAACCCAGCTTCCCGAACTGTTGAGAGAGGGATGTAGTGTGCACAGTTGGGGCAGAGGGGAAAGTGCACAGGAGGAAGCAGTGTTTTGCTTGGCTTGGGCTTGCTACCCTGCAGAATGCTCATGGCTTGGAATTTCTGGATTTTATAATTCATGCCTCCAACTTTGAACTCCAGCTCTGGAGACCCCTGGAGATGTGGGGGAGGAGGGAAAAAGGAAGTAAGGCATGGAGGGCACCATCTTACCTATAGTAATGGCATCGAAGGAAGAGTGGCAATATTTAGGACCCCGAGTTTCAGGACTCCTTTCCCGGGGTCTGTGGGGATCCCAGGCCTCGAAGTCAGTGAACAGCTTTCCTGGGAGCTGGATGGCCACAGAGCCCCCTTGGGGCTTCCCTTCATGGAGAAGAAGAGGGAGAGAGGCACACAGGTTGGGGGTGTGTGTTGAGGGCTCAAGACCTCTCCCCACCCCCACCTGGTTCCTTTTTTCATCATCTGATATGAGGGGCAGGGAAGTGGGAGTTGGTGGCTTCAGAGCTGTCGTTAGTTGTTGGTGTTAACCATAGCCCTGAACTCAGAAGTCCTGTCCTATTGAATAGTCTGAGAAAGAGGAACCTACCGAGATAAAATTGGAGCAGGGGACCAAACAAGGGTTTGGAACTAAGAAGCACAGAGGGTCCTCTTCTCTGAGTCCTGGACAAAGCAGATGGCATGAAGGCAGAGTTTAGAGGCCCATGCTGTGATAATTATACCACTTATAAATTATATCACTATACTTCACTTATGAGAGTGAGGCAGAGTCCAATATGCTTAGAATTTGGCACCAGCTCCTGAATCCTAGACTGTAATTTCCTAGCTGTGTAATCTCGGACAAGTTGCCTGTCCTCTCTGATCTCCATTCTCCTTGTCTGTGGACAAAAAGATACATCATGAGTGTGTTGTGACTGAGTTAAACGCCTGGCCCATGGTAGACATTCATGAAATAGCAGCTGTCACTATTACATTTGTGTAGGTTTCTTAAGCTACAAAGCATGTTGATACCCACTAGTACAACAGCCCTGTGAGGTAAGCAGGACCTCAATTATTATCTATTTTCTCAGAAGTTAAAACTGAAGGCTCTCAGAGGGGAAATGCTTTGCCCCAAAGCAACTACTAATGGAACAGATACTTTGGACTCAGGGCTCCTGGCCCTGCCCACCACACCATACACGCTGAGGGAGGTAGACCAGGCGCTGTGTGGGGCCTGGAGTCCAGGCAGGTCTCTGGGTGGCAGCGCTAGTTAGTTTAGTCAGGGGGAGAATCCCCTGTTTGAGTCCACTACCAGGCAGAGGCCCGGGCTTTGGGGTTAGTAC